GAGGTCGTGCCTTGTGGTGGATTTCTTTTTATTATTATTTTAACAAGTGGTGTTTAAACAGAGGTCACCTCTGAGTTCTCCTTCCTTGCTGGAGCTGTGTGGGGTGGTGTAGCCCTGCAGCAGCAGCTGCCATATCCCTTTGCCCCCCAGGGCTGAAGTCCAAGACTGGTTCCCAGTTCCATCATGTGCAGGAAGAGCTGGTGGCTTTTTTGCCTGTGCTTCACGTGGCTTTTGTATTTGTCACTAATCCCCAGGGGACAGCAGGAGTGAGGAAACACAGGTTTTGTAAAGATCCTCAGGATCTCAAACTGTACCTTTATGCTTTGAAGCTTCTCTCCAAAATGGTCATCCCCCCACACCTCACAGATACCTGGGCAGCTGTTTGTGCCAGATGTTGGGGTTTTGGGATGATCCTCTGATGGCACCTGCCTTGCCATGGGACTATGACAGCAAGCAGAGCCCCACCTGCCCTTCTACCCACAGCTTTCTTCCCTCCCCTGTTGCCACTTTGCACGTGGTTGGACACACCAGCCTTGGGTGCTCCTTGTTTCCTCTCTCAGAGGCACAGCAGCTGTGGTAGGTGGTGTAGCATGGAATGATTCTGCTCCGTGGCTGAGGTCACCGTGGCTCTTTTCCCTCCTGGACTCACCACCTGGCTGGGGTTTTAATTGAACTTGGTGCAGGTTTCAGCACTATTTCAAAATGCTTGGTCTGAAGCTGCTCACTGAAGGAAGGGTGAAGTGTAGCAGAGGAGAGAAAGCAAATTAATGCTAGAGAAAGGATCCAAAAATAGCAAATTTGGGGGCTAACCAGGCCATGTATTAAATCTTTCAGGAGAGGCAATCTATCATGAAACAAGGAAGGTGGGAGGGCAGAGGAGGGAATTGCTCTCGAGGGCAGTTAGACGTTCACATGTATCCAGTTTTGCTCCTCCCCAGCATCAGCATCCCATCCCTTGTGGCTCATGGCCTGGGGAACCCCACCTGCCTTCTCCTTGATGCCCAGGGGGTTGGAGCAAGCTGCCCTACTGCCACCCCTCCGTGTCCCTGTGCTGGGGCTGGAGCAAGGCTGGCTGTGCCCACGGGGACCCGCAGCCACAAGGTGCATCCAGCCCCAGCAGAGCCACAGCCCACCCTGGCCCCGTGCCAGCAATAATACATTGGGTTTAATTAAAACAGTATTTTTCATCTCCTTCATACGTTATTTGGTTATTACTTCAGAACGAGCCAAGGAATTCTTGTATTCCCCCCACTCCCTCCCGTGCTCTTTTAATCTGCTTTCTCCCCCCTTCCTTTTGCCCTTTTGCTGTCCTTTCCCTCATCCCCAGGGGTTTAACTTTTTTCAGCTGTCACAAAGTTGTTAAGATGAGGAAGCCCAGGGTTCATAAGGACTCATTCATTCCAGTGGGATCAGCTGTTTGCAGCAGTGGGAAGCAGCACGGTGTGTCCAGCCGTGCCTGGCTGACCAGGGCAGGAGCTCACAGGTGGGAAAGCTCCATGAGAGCTGGAGGAGGAGGTGTTTCTCCATTTTAACATGTCCAACTCCAGGCTTGAGTTACATTTCTGAGTTGTTTGTGCAGCACCAGCACAGCAGGAGCGGCAGCTCAGCCACGGGGGCTCTGAGGTGCTGTCAGACGATGCTGCTCCTCGTTTTGGGGCCCAGGTGCTCTCCTGTGCTCAGCCAGCCTCACCACCTGCTTTCTTGTCCTGCCGTGCCAGGGCTGCCTCTGGGAAGCAGTGTCGTCCTGGGAGCCAGTACCTCAACAGGAAAAAATGGATTTGCAATGCATATTTTGTTCCGAAACACCCTGAGCTCAGCGGGACGCTCAGGGCTGGGCTGAGTTCAGGGGATGTGCTGCGAGGGGTGAGGCACCAATAACACTGTCATTCCTTTCCTTCCCCAGGCCCTTCCCATCGGAGGAGACCACGGAAAACGATGATGACGTGTATCGGAGCCTGGAGGAGCTGGCAGAGTAAGTGGCCTCCCCTTCTCACGGGAGGGGACACAGAAAGGGAAAAGTTGCAGAGTATTTGCAGCAAAGGCAGATAAAATTTGACAGCGGGGCTCAGAGAGCTGGGCTGGCTGCTTTGATCCTTTTGCCAGGAGATTTTTGTGCTCTGACAATAGTCCATCTTTTCCCATGAAGAGCCCTGGGAGACATCACTTTTAATCAGGTTGAATTTATGAGGGGCTTGGTGGGGGGTGAAGGGGGCCAAGCCCATGGGATCCCCTCCGCCTCCTAAATTCCATCATTAGCTGCAAAACCTTGGGACATAATTTATCCTCTGAGCTGACCAAAGCCAAACCACTTGCTGGGAGTGGGGTACCTGTTGCTAACAGTGCTGGTTCCCCCTATGGCATTTTTTGGGCTGTGTGGGTGCTGGCACGTGGATCTGCATCCCCCATGGATGATTTTTGGACCACCTTAGGTGTCCCCAGGGCAATCACAGAATATTTTGGGTTGAAAGGGGCCTTAAAGACCACCTTGTTCCATGTCCCCTGCCATGGTCAGGGAAGCCTTCCAGTAGACCAGGTTGCTCCAAGCCCTGTCTAACCTGGATGCTTGCAGGGATGGGGCCTCAGGCCCCTCACAAGGGACACATCCTGCCTGTCCTTGGTGGTGTATTAGGACATGGGGTGATGCTGCTGGTGTGTCCTGTCTCTGTTTATCTTGTGTCTGTGTTTTGCTGCCCGTGGTGATGATATAACAGGCTTTTAAAATCAACCTTGAACTACAACATATACGGTGAAATGTGGGCACTATTGGAATTCGATGGCAGCATTCCCATCAGCCAGGGGTTTGCTTATGTGGAGCAGTCTGTTTCATGTGGAGGGATGGACTGTATGGGTGGATATATGGCTTTATACAGTTAAATATTATTGTTCCACAACATAAATAATAAGGCTCCTTAATCCAATGAGTTCCTTATGGCTTCAGTTATTACAAAAGTAAATCATAAATTACCAGTGGAGGGAATGGAGTCCCCTGGAATTCCCTGCTTGCTGTTGGCTCCCCAGCAGCTACAGTTTAATATAATTTTAACTTATAAAGGGATCCTTTCAAGAGCAACATTTTTTTCCGCCCCCTCTCCAAAAGTTCTCAAAATCCTTTTAATGCTAGGTTTTAAAATTCCTGCTTCTCACACATAGACGTGCTTTTAATTGGAGAGAGGTTTGTGTGGGAACTCACACACGAGTGCTGGTTGGGATGGCAGCACTCTCCTAGAAATGGGAGTTTTGGGATGGCATGCTCAGAGCTTGCAGCAGGTTGTTCAGTGCTGGAAGTGGGTTCCCAGTTTTAACTGCTGCCAGTGGTGCAGCTCCTGCAGGGTGTCTGGGTGGAAGCTTCCCAAACTGTTCCTCAGGCCTGGCTGTGAGTTTGTCCCTCAATGAGAGGTGCCCAAGTCAGATGACTTGGAGGTTTATTTCTGTTGATCGCCCTGTTCTGTCCCGGATCTTCTCCAACTTTTAACTTTCCCTTTTTTCCCGTTCTTTGCAAAATCCCCTTCTCAAAATCTTTAGCCAAGACCGGTGGGGAAAGGCATGTGTAAATCAGCACGGGGTTATTGCACCAATTCCTGCATCTGGACCTGCCCTCCTGGTCCTGCCAGGTTGTGCACGGAAACACGACCTACAAAACAGAGACGGAATTCACCCATAGCTGTAAAAACCCCAGAAATGCCCCTGAGAGCCCCTTCACACAAGTGTTGCTGCTCCAGCTGCCTGGAGTACATCAGCAATAGTCCCCCTTTCTCCCTTTGACAAGGAAACTTTTACTGGGATTTTGCTGGTCACAATGGTGGGTACTGGGCACCGCTGCTGGGCGCTGGCAGGCTGGGGCACTGCATGAGAAAGCTCTTTCTTAGCTCCTGCTGATCCTCCAAACAGCTGAACAAGGGCATCATTCACGAGCTGGGAGTGATTCAGTCCATCCAGCATCTTTGCATTTAGTATTGCTGATGATCCAGCAGCCTTGGGAAGATCTGAGTGCATACAAAATGCTTTATTGGAGGCGAGGAAGTGATTTTTCACAGCAAGCAGTGAAATGACCCAATGTGTGGAAGGAACTGCTACAATCCTGCCTGTAAAACCACCATGAGATGTGTCATCTCAAGGTTCCATCCTGCTGTCCCCACTGGCCTCAAAGGGCCAGGGTGTGGGTGAAGAAAAGCCCTGGTGGGCTCTGCACCATCAGCTCACCCCTGGGAGAGAGGAGTCTCTTCAGAGGGAGCTCTCTTTGGACACTGTGCTGCTGGGATAAAAAGCTCAGGATAAATATTGAGCTGGTTCTAACAAGACATTTTAGGGGTTGGTAAAAGAGATACTTTTTTTTTTTTTAAATATCGAAATGCTTCATTTCAACTCTTAAGTACTTAAATGGAGCAGTTTTGTGTTCCCCTGTTCAGATTTTAGGTGAATTTCTGTTCTGCAAAGCATTCAAAATATAGATGTATTGGTGAAGGAGAGGCTGATTTGGGAAGAGAAGGAACCAGGCTTTGTCCCCACTGTCCCCACGATGCTCTGAAGAGTGAGAACCTTCATCCTGACGACCCTCCCAGTGCAGAGGAGCCCTGGCAGCTGGGGACAAAAGTCAGTGCCAGGGCTGGAGAGGATCAATGGCAGTGCCACAAGGACATTTATGTGGGCTGCAGGAACAAGGTCTGTGCGAGCACAGCGTGTCTGTGGGGTGCAGGTGTGTATAAAGGATGTTTAAACCTTGATGACCCCATTGTTCTTTCACCTTTGGGGTGTTGCAGAGATGAATCCAAGCTCCAGGCAGCTCCCCAGCCCTGCGTCAGCCAGCCAGCAGATCAAGGCATGTAATTGCCTGGAAACAGCTATTTGGTTAAAAAAAAAAGAGAACAATTGGTGATGGAAAGGGGAAGGGAAACTAAAAGGCTATCAGGGGAGATAGGAAGTTCTCAAATTCCCTGTTTTCAGCCTGCTGGCCCCTCTCTTTGCTTTGCCATGGGCCAGATGGCAGCTTGCAGCAGCCTGGGCAGATGGTGAGGGCCGGACGGATGCAAGTGGTGCCTGATCAATACTGGGAGGAGCAGTAAAGGGACAATTGTCTTCTGCTGCCTGATTTATCTCAGCCTGCCCTAGTGCCAGACCCTAGAGCTGCAGCTGTTCTGGGGGGAGTTTGCCCACAAAATGAGCTGGGCTTTGCAACAGCAATACATGGGCTCATTCTCCATAGCCTGTGCCCCCAAAATCGGAGCAACCCTTGTCCTGGGGATGCTCCCACAGGTGTGCAGGGGTGTGAGCTGCTGCTTCCCACGAGGATATGGCTGCTGGGCACTGATGTCAGTGGGCAATTATCCGCCTTACTGATAAGCTTCTTCCTCGCCAATTGCTTTTCCATCCCTCTTGATGGCCCTTTCAGCTGCTCCTGACCATCCTGGTACCTCAGAGTTATAGTTAACATTTAACCTGAATTTTCTTTACTGCCACTTAAGCTCTCCCCAGTTATTTTGTCTCATTAAATTTATGAGAGTGATTAATCCTGGTCCTCTTTACAGCACCAGACCCTTCTTTATGATGAACCTTCTCCACTTCATGACACTGTCCCTCTGCCCTGGCACTAAGCCCAGCAGGCTTGGGTGGATTACACATAGGGCTGATTTTGGGTTGCTTGTTGGCTCTTGGAAGAGTTCAGAGTCAGACAGAAGTGCTGTGAATGATTTGATGTGAAACATTTAATTTGTGTAACTTTTACCTTTATTTTCTCCTTCAAATGTAATTTGTTTTGGGGAGAGAAGTTGTGGTGTTGCAGAAAGGACCAAGTGTTTTAGGCAAAGCAGCTGCCACCAAACTCTGTGCTGGAGCCAGCGTGTGCCCCTGGGGAGCTTCATCCCACAGCTCAGTGTCGATGTCCCCTGCTCTTGTTTTGAGCTGCAGTTCACTGAGGATTTATCCCCAACAAATGTATTGGGGATAGTTGTGTATTCCCAAACTTTATATCCTAGAAAAGGGGGGAAGTAGGTCTGCCCAGCCTCAGTTTCTCAAGTGATGCATCTCTTCTGGGCACAACCTCTGCCGACAACCTGCCCCCTGCCAACAGCTTCTCATTGAAGTTTCTCCTACTTCTTCCACTGCTGTCACCAGCTTTGCCCCATCATATCTCCCAAAATAGTGATGTGATCAGCAGAATTTCTCAAGTGCATTAAAAGAAAGTAACGGATAGAGGAGCCAAGGTGAGATGATAAGTTAGCTGCCACTTTTCTCATTATTTTTGCTGTGTTGGACAGACCACGCACGCCAGCCCATTAAATAAATGGTTCTGTAGTACAGGGCACTTGAGCCATAGCACTTGTAAATGTGTCTTTTCTTCTTTGTCACCCGTATTGATTTTTATACGTCCTACTTGTGCCTTTTCTAGGATCATATTATGTGCTATAACTGTGTGAGGCTCGTTCTTGGGATCATAATGTTCCCCTTTGATTGGGGAACGTAAGACCCAAGTAGAATAGATGGCAGAAGGCTTCCCTTGCTATTTCCACATGTGTATCTCCATCCAAGTACAATCTGGCTAATTAAACCCTGCAAGATCTCGAGTCCAGTGACTGCACATCTTGCACTCCTTCACCCTGAAACCTAAGCCTGCCAGATGTGCTGCAAATATAGGACTCTGCTTCTCCTCGTCTGATGGAGCCCGTGAATGAGGGGGTTGGTTGGATGGACTGTCTATTTATAGCTGTAAGTGCAGAGTAAGAATGAGAAAGTGGAGGATTACTGGGGCAGACTGGAGCCTTGCAGTTGCTGGGCAGCTGTCTCAGAGTCCCTGCAAATGCCCTCCCAACCTGGACCCAGTGGTGGCTCTGAGGTTTTCTGGCTCTTAACCTTGGCTACAGGGCTGGAAATTTGGGGTTATTTCTTGGTTGTCTTATTTTAGTTCCTTCTGTCCCCTCCTTCCCTTTCTTTTGTTGTTCCTGGTGGTTCTGGCTCTCCCACCAGTGTGGTTTGGACAGGGGTTTTGGCGCAGTGGGTTTGCCTTGAGAGCTTGTCCCTGCATTCCTGGGGCTGGTACAAACTCATCAGCTTCCCAGAGCAGCTTTTGTGGGTGAAGAGATTCTTCAGTGGCCCTCAAGTCTATCAGAGCTTCCCCACGTGTTTGTCCCTCACTCCAAGGCAGCATCCTGGCATCAGCCCCTCTGTTATGGGAGCTGCTCCTTGGCATGGCTGCTGCCTGCCTGGGAGGGTGTTCATACAGAGCAAGCATTGCCAGGGAGGCAGAGCTCAGCCAAAAGCACTGTTTTTGCCTGAAATTGCCTTAGATATGAAAAGCTTCATTCTTTTTTTGCTTTGAATGAGCTTTTCTGGCTCGGCAAGATGCTGCCATCCCAAAGCTGGTTACATCCATCCTAATAACAGTAATTGCAAATGCTGGCGTTAACTCTGAAGGGCGGATAAAATCCCTTTCCTAAACCCAGAGCTGTCAATGAATCTCCTAATCCAGGCAGTAGATCATGGGCTCTGATACCCACGGGTAACTCGCAGACTCTGCTGCTTTTATTGAAGGAGCAAATTGCTTTTCTTTGTGAAGAACGAGGTGAAGATCTGGCTTTCCTTGCTCAGGTTGTTCCATCTGCGCGTGACATGCTTGGGATGCCGAATTTATTGCCTGCATTTAGTACGCCCTTAGTTTGCCACTGGCTAAAATCACCCTGATGCCTGTTCCCTGTTTTGAGGACGGGGAGGGTGCGTATTTTCAACTCTGACAGACATAATGTGGAGACTGATGAAAATCAATATGTGCACAGCAGCGATTGTCAACAGCCGTGCGGCACCGTTGGAGCTTGGCTGCTCACAGTCTGCTCCAGGAGAGGTTAATCCACACGGTTTACTGCTCTCCATAAAACTGGCAGCCTCTGGTGTTTCTCAGGGATGTACTAGGAATGTGTTTTAATAAATAAGAGTCTGCTGGACAAAGGTATGGTTTTAATACCACCACGGCTGTCGGGTTTGAGCATCTCTAGTGTCTCTCCCCGAAGCTCTGAAGTGGAAGTGTCTTTCTAGATGGCCCCAGGACAAGGGAGTTGTTCCTGGTTTTTGTGTGAGGCCAGAAATCGGTGTTGGGAAGGGCTTGTGCTGATGTTGATGAGCAGGAAGGAGTGGAGCAGTAGGGCTCAGCCCCTTTGTTAGAGCAGTGAGAGTAGCAAGGTGCTATCAGGATGTGACCCCTTGTGATAAGTGCAATGTTCATGTCTTGTGACTGTTGGCAGTTCTGTGGGCAAATCTCCTGTGTTGACCCTTGGTAGGCATTCCTGCCCTTTTCCTGGTGGCCTGGAGGAGCTCTGGGTAGGGCCAGGCTGGACCAGGTACATGGGGCACCCATCCTTCTGCAGGCTTGGTCCAGGAAGCCTGATTGAGCAAAACCCCTTCAGCATGTCACACTGCCACCTGGATTTCTCACAGTGGTGTCCTGGTGTGTCCCCACCACAGTCCAGAGCTCATGGCTCCTTGGAGGGGGAGAAAAGGAGAACTTGTCCAGGCTGGGAACAGCAGCAACAGGCTTAGAATGGGTCCTGCTGGGGTTTGAGGCTTGGACCTGGCACCTGGTTGTGTAGGTGCGCTGAGAGAATGTCCAGGTGATGCTCAGGACACAGGGCTTCCCAGAGACACCTCAGGATGCCTCTTCTCCTTCTGCACGTAGCCCAAAGCAGTTCCTGGGTGCTCCCATGTGGATGGTGATGAGCATCCACGAGGCCAAGCAGGCTCTGCTCCAGCAGCAGCGTCACCGCAGCACTCGCCTGGTCGCGTCACACCCAGCCGGGCTCGTGCTCGCGACGTTAACGCAGCCATACGTCCCTAACGACCCTGGAGCCAGGGAAATGATGTATGGAGAGACAGCCAGCAATCCGAGAGGTGCAGGCAGGAAGATTAATCAGGAACTGGGAGTGACTCGCTCTGGATAAGGAGTGGAGCGGAGAATATAAATATTGGTACAGATAATAACGGCGACGGCGACGCCTGGGAAGGGGAAGATGGATCACCAGCTATTAGTGGGCATTATTGCAGCAGCTGCAATGCATCACTCTGGAAGAATGGGATGGCTACATCAAGCCAGTGTATTTATTTAAAATCCCCAAACTTTTATTAAATAAATCTGTTTTGTAAAAATAGAAGGGACCGTATTTAGCGAAGAAATAAAGCCCAGTTTTGCAGGCAGATGTGCTCTGCTGCTCCCTGCTATATAATATAGAGATGTCGAGTGTCACAGTTTGAGCACAGCTTTACACCTAAATATATTTGGGTGTAATTAATACCCCTGTTGAAAGAGACAGCTCATAAAATATGCGAGTGCTGTTTGATATTCCAGTGTTTCACACTGTCCTGATCCTGTGGGATTGACTTCAGTGGGAGCCGTTAGCAATCAGCACCTGTAGATCTAAGTGCTAGAGTTATTATTGTTAATTGGTATTTATTGTGGGTTGAATTTTCAGAGGTATTCTAAGACCGATGAGCCCCTGGGAGGGGTGTGAAGGCTCAGATGACAATTAATTACTGAACACCCTCACCTTTAATACAAATTGGGCTCTGCATCTCAGTGATGCCTTCAAAGCCTGTGTGTGTGCAGGGCCAGCTCCAAAGTGATGGGGCCAGCTCTGAAAATGTGACATTTTGCTGCTTAATTTTTCTCTGATGTAAATATTATTATTGGCCTCTGCTCAGCATTGGGGCTGAGCATCACCAAGCTGGGCATCTGGCGAGATTGCTTTATGGTGGTCAGGAGAGTCTCCTATTCCTCTGGGAAATGCTGGATTAAAAATCACTCAGTTGCCCATTAGGGCAGGGATTGGGCTTTATGGGAGTTGGTGCATCTCCCAGAAGAACTGGATCCAGAGCTTTTAAATCTGGAGGTGATGCCCAAGGCTGGAGGCAGCTGCCTGGTCCAGGCATTGCTGTGGGTCCTGCACAGCCTGGGGTGTGGGTTCATCAGGACTGGGAATGCTTCTATGGACTGCACAGAGCCATCAGATGATTGTTTAGTATCTGCTCCTGCTCTGAATGGGCTCCTATGGCAGTTTTTCAGCCCTGACTTGGAGAGGGGGTGGTTTTTTGGCACAAAGGAAACCTCTTAGTGAGAAAAAGCCAAACCAGATTAAGAGTGAACACAGTGCCTTAAACAGACCAACCCGTAAAGTCCATTCTCTGAGTATAATATAGTTAAAGTCACTGATGCAAGAGCTGCTCCTGGTCCTAAATAGGAGCTGAAGAGGAGGCCGTGGGCACCTTTGGAGGCAGGTGGAGCTGGACCTGGTCATGCCAGCGGCACAGATGGTCCCACTGGGTGCTTGGCCAGCGGGTCCAGCTCGGCTGGGCCGATTAGCACCGAGCAAAAGCTCTGTGGGGGCAGAGCTGGCAGCCCGTGGTGGAGTGGGCATCGCGGGCACGCTTGGCACGGGGCTCAGAGCAGCTCTTGGCTGTGATCCCCGCTCGTGTTGAGCAGCGTTTTGCCTTTTCCAGCCTCCAGCGAGCGGAAAGAGATGTGCAGCAGGCACTGATCCGGGAAAACCAGAGAGCGTGGACTGAGCGCATCAGTGCTGTGGGCCAGGAGAATTTTCTTATTGTGGTTCTCCCCCCTGCTCGGTGTCAGAGCTGTTGTTGGTTTGCCTGATCAAGTGACAGTGAACATCCCCTCGTTATTATCACTGACTTCTCTCTCCTCGTTCCAGCGAGCACGATCTGGGGGAGGACATTTATGACTGCGTCCCCTGCGAAGATGAAGGCGATGATATCTACGAAGATATCATCAGAGTGGAAGTTCAGCAGCCCATGGTAACAATTTATCTGCGTTTTTAAAGCTACACCTTGATGGGAGGGGGAGGGAGGGGGATTTAATTAAATAAATTACTGTCTGCCAATGGCAGGTGATGCTGCAGGGAAGCGAACCACTCTGTGTTGCTCCTCAAAACTGAGCTGCCTTGCAAGTGGTAAAAATAAGCGGAGCTGGGATGGCACTGGCCCAGAGGGGGTTCTCTGAGGAGTTTCCCAGCCCATCCTGTCATCTGAAGGAGTTCAAGGAGGAGGAAGGGAAAGGGAGACCTAATAAGCCCTAAAAGATAAGCTAAAAATAGCAATTTGCTGCTGAGCCAAGGCAGCATGTGTCACTGCAGCCCTTCTGGGGAGGGGGAGTGTGGGAGCTCTCCCTGCTCCGTCAGCCAGATGTGCCATGTCTGCCACCGGTATTTTTAGATCGGGGCGAGCACTGACAGATCTGTGTGGGGGATCCAGCACTTGTTTATGCCTGCTGCTGCCTCCTACCTGGGTGTCTCAGAGCAGGGAGGTGTTTACAGTGGAGCTTTCTGGGGCAGCAGGGACCCATGTGGCTTTAGGGACAAGCAGCCATCCCCTTTTGTCACCTCTGAAAACCTCTTGATGATGGGGAAACCTGAGTGTTGAGGTATGTGCAGCCTCATGGAGGGATGTGCGTTAACTCCAAGGGCTCTGGGGCAAATACCCCACTCCATGGATGAGACAGGGAGGTAATGATGGCCCTTGCACCTCCCCAAAGATGCCCACAGCCACCCTCACTACCTGTGTCCCCAGCACTGCCCTGGCTTCTGCTGGTGCAGAGCTGGAATGGACCTTCTCCAGAGTGTGACCTTCCAAATTTTCTCCCAGCCTCCAATATCTGCCACCCTCAGGCTTTGTTCAGACTCTAATTACTCTCTCCTAGCGCAAACAGCACATACCTCCCCGTAACAAAGCAGGATCAATGGATAAGTTCACTGATCAATTAAATCCCTGGAGCAGGGCATGTGGCTGAGCCAGATGAGGGGCTGGAGCCTGAGAATGCAGGGCTGCATCCGTGGAACCTGCCCAAACAGCCGAGCAACGTCCCTTGACTCCTTCCCTCTCCCAGTTTGGCTACGAGTGGTACAGAGATCGTGATGATGGTGTTTGGGGCGTTTTATCCCTTCACACCTTGTCTGCAGCCAGAGGAGCTCCCTGTGCACTGAAACCCTGTCTGGATCAAGGAGTTGGGCACAAAATATTCCCAGTGATCCCGCCAAAGCGCTTGGAGCTGTTATGGATGCTAGTAGCAATGCTGAAGTCAGCACAGCTCGCTGGTGTTTTTAGCAGGTTGCCATCAGTTGCAGAAGCCATTTGGCCCAAGAACAACCCCTTGGGAAGGTTCTGGTAGGAATTTCTTGCATAAATAGCAAAAATGGGGGGAAGCTCCAGCAACCAGGTAGTACAGGATTAGGATCAGTGGAATTGTCAGTTTTTCACTGTCCCCTCTGTGATGTTTTATGATTTCTGCTGAGCAGTGATGGAGTCGAGGGCTCTGACTCTCTTTCCCTCCCTTTCCCTGAGCAAAAGAGTGGTTTTGGTATGAACACCCACATATCCGCCAAAACATTGATTTTCTTGTAAGATCTGTTGCAATAGCAAGTGTGCAATGCTAATGGCTTCTTGTATTTCTGCATGCTTCAGATTAGATATATGCAGGTAAGATGCATTGATTAAAATACTGGGTTTCATCCAGCTGATAGGTCCGAGCTGCGAGTTCTAAGGGGGTGGACAGAGGGTGTCTTTTCCCGTGCATGATCCATAAAACCCCATCGCTGAATCACCTCCCAAATTCAGAGCCTGCCTTGCCAAGTGCAGCAGCTCCCAACACGTGTTCTCAGCTTTACAGATGTCAGAGCAAGAGAAGTGACTCCAGGAGTTGGGGCTTTGAGAAAAGCACGTTTTATCAGATTTGACCTAAAATCATAAGAATTGGCAATCCTGGCCAGGGATTTGTGTAAATCTAACATATTATTTATGACCCACTTAGGCTCTGTTGTGAGTTTCATCTTAGGCAAAAAAAAAAAATAGAGAAACTCAGCCTTTATCTCTTATTATTCTTCTTTAGCTGATAGTCTTTGGTGATGTGGTTATAATAAATGCAAAAAATGGAATGCTTGCCATGTTGAAACATACTTAATAATACAGCCAGGGTTCCTTCTTATATTTTTTGCATAAGAATAGTTCCCTTTAACATAAACTAGTAGTGGTGCTCTCCTGATTTTCCAAACTTGTGCTTGTTTGCTGTCACTGAAGGCTGAACTGGATCAGCAGGTTGCTGGCCCACCCAGAAGAGTATCTGACCACGCGTTATTTTTGCTTTTTCTAGAAAATGGGAATGACAGAAGATGACAAAAGAAATTGCTGCTTGCTAGAAATCCAAGAAACTGAGGCCAAATACTACAAAACACTTGAAGATATAGAAAAGGTAAGAACTGAGCCATCTTTTCCATACCGTGGCCTTCCCCCTCGCCCCTTGATCTCGCGTTAATCGTGTTAGTTCTTGCTCTGAGGGCTGGCAGATGTGAGCGGGCAGGATCAATGCACTCGCACGTAAAATTGGAGAGAAGGGAGATCCAGAAAAGCCAGGCTGACAAGCACAAATGTGCAGCCTGTAACTGTAGGAGCCAAACAGCATATTTTTTCTGATTGCTGCAGATTGGAAATAAGCTGAAAACCCCCTACCCCGGGGTAAGAGACTCCAGTTCCTCACTCAGCCAGGCCAGGCTCGCCGATAAGAGCAGTGTTTGCAGATATCTTATCGCTCCGATTGCTACGGAGTAATTTCTTTATTCTGGGTGCTTTTCAAAAGTGCTGAAGCTGTGATGACTTGTCATTGAAACTAATTGGATTAAAAGAAACGTTTTGCTGCTTAAATTCACGGGTTTTAATTGGTTTTGATAAATGATTGTCGTGCCTTTCTTTTAAATAAAAATAAAAGTGAACACCTCAGCAAGACGGTGGAGTCGTGGATGCGGCGGGAGCCTGGAGGTGGTTCCTGCTCCCAGGAAAGCAGCAGGAGTGGAGAACAATAGTGAAAATCAAGCTGCCATTTCTAATCACCCTAATGCTTTTGTTTCCTCCCCTTCTGCAATTATTTCCCTCTGAAAGTTCCCGCAAAGAAACCATGAACAAAATTGGCACGATGGAATAACGCTTCCTATTTTCCAGGAAAATGTCCCAACATAATGTCATTTATGTTGGGACATTTGTTCCTTGAACCAGCCCTCTGGTTCAGCCTAAAGGAAGAGTTAAATTATTGCTTTGATATCAATTTAAAAGGCTTGTGAAGGCTTAGCAGGTTCTGGCGCTGTTATGAGCAGAGGGTTCTGTCTTTGGTGTGTTACATCAGGGGTTTTTTTGTGGTTACAAGTCATGTAGATGTTTCTATTAATATGTATTTGTTCAGAAACGCATTTCCGATGTAATCACATCATTGGTGTGTTTTCAAGGGCAAAACTCTAGTGAGATAAAGAGCTGGAAAGATGCTTCAGTGCAGCCAAGGACTGCAGTGAGGTGAAGCAGCTGAGTGCATTTATTTAACCCTCCTCCCATGGGTTTAGCAGGGGAGGGGTCCTGCACCCACCTATGGGTTGGGATTTTGCACCTTCCCAAGCCTGGAAGTGCTGAGGGAGCCAAGGGGAGCTGAGGGGATGATGCACCCATGGAGATTCCTGCCTCCCACTTGGATCCTTGGCACAGCCTGGTTGTTCTCTGCCTTTGCAAGTGCTTAAATTCATTAAAACCTTGCTTTTCCCTGTCCAGGTAAATTCAACTGGTGAAGCAGAAAAAAAACACCTCTCTTGCACAACCCCCTTCTTGTTCCCTCCTCTCCAGTATTTCAATCCCTTTTCCATCTCCCTCTTGCAGAACTATATGAACCCCCTGAGGCTGGTACTGACTCCCCAAGACATGGAAGCTATTTTTATCAATTTGGAGGTAAGGGCGTGGACTTTGTGGTTTAAATCTTTGTTTTCTTCAAGGCAGCTCAGCCCTCTCCCTGTTTAAGAGAAGGTTTTCCCATTTCCTGTTAGATCTGTGCATTCACCTGTGGAGGTTCAGCCCTTCGTGTGCTGTGGAGCTTGAATGAGTTTAGGAGATATTCTTTAACACTCAGTTTTAGAGCTGGGGATTATATGAACTCTAGGTAAAAAACCAGTTCTATCCAGTGGATGTTCTGGGGCTGGGGCTGTGGATTTTAGCTGATTTAGGTGGTTTGGGCACATTGTGATGAAGGGATTTATTTCTATGCTGGCTTGCACAGAGTCTGGGTCAGAACCTGGTGTATCATCTGCACCTTCCATCCCATTTCCTCCTCTCTCCTTATCCTGGGGCATTTATCACTGTGTAACCTCTGATGGAATTACACTCCCATATTCCAGGCCATTCAGGGCTGCGTTCCACTAGAACAACTTTCTTTAAAAACAGCTAAAAGAGGAAAAAAACTGCCTGATGAAGTAGTGAATGTGCATTTCTTTAGGCTCTGTTTGCCCACTTGCTTTGAATGTGTTTAAAGTATTGACTGTTTCTTTGTTTTAGGACCTAATTAAAGTGCACTTCAGTTTCCTGAGAGCCATCGATGTCTCTATGATGTCTGGAGGAAGCAGCCTGGCAAAAGTGTTTCTGGAATTCAAAGAGAGGTACAGGAAACCTGGGCTTCAGGCAGGTCCAGTTTTAACAGATTTGGGTTAACATTTGCAGGGCTCATCCCCAAGATTTGAACAGAGCCCTCTGTTGCTCTCTACCTTCTCACTCTCTACTGCTGCCTGAAAGGAAGTTGTAGCCAAGTGGGGATCTGTTTTTTTTCTCAAGTAACAAGCAATAGGACAAGAGCAAGCAGCCTCAAGTTTCACCAGGGGAGATTTGGATTGGGTATTAGGGACAATTTCTTCACTGAAAGGGTTGTCAAGCACTGGAGCAGGCTGCCCAGGGAGGTGTTGGAGTCACCATCTCTGCAAGCATTCAGAAAAGGTGTAGCTGTGGTGCTCAGGGACGTGATTCAGTGATGGACTTGGCAGTGCTGGGTTAATGGTTGGACTCGATGGTCTGAGAGGGCTTTTCCAACCTTAATGATTCCCTGATTCTAGAAATCCCTGTCACAGCAGACCAGGTTTGTATCCTCTGCATCTAAATGCTGTCAGGCAGCTGAAACATCATTTGGTGCTGACACTTAAGCAGCCAAATCCAGCCACAACCGTGTCAGGCTGCCCAGGGCAGAGGCTGGAACATCTCCCTTGTGACCAGCCAGGCCCCGTCATGTAGCTCCTGTGGATCCTTGTTCCTGCAAGCCCCTGGCTGCACCTGGATTTCTCTGGGCTCAGCATCTCATAACAGGCTGAATGTACAATGTGTTTACGGGGACATATCGGAGGGGATAAAGTTTGGAATGCTACAATTGTGGTGAACGGGAATGGAGTAAAACCTCACTCAGCTTCAAGGGTTTAGTGTGGTCTCCTGCAAGCAGCAGTGGGGCTCTGAGGGCCTGTGATGTGGTGGGATGACTCCTGTGAAGGGGAGACTTGGCTCTTGTTAGATCAAAGTGATTCCTCACTCCAAAAAGTCACCTCGTTGGCACCGCACTTGTCCCGCACCTCTGGCACGATGAATAAATGTAAAAGTGGCTTTTTTCAAACAGAATAGATTCTGTGTTTTGGCAGCTGCAAGCAGGAGCACCCCAGAACACAAAGATAAGGTTAATAAAAGCTTTTAATATCCTTAGTACTAATCAAAGGGTGATTCATTGTGGAGTCGTGCCAGGGCGTTATTTCACTGTGATTAAACCAGTGTCTAGACACAGAAATGCCATTCAGGAGTCAATAACTCCAGGAATACCATCTGCAGTAATAACACACCATAAGGTCAGGTTTTCCATCATTCTCAGGGCCTCTTTGTACAAAGGGCGTTTTTTCTGGATTAAATAAAAAAAAAAAGTTTCCAGAGAAGAATGCAAATAATTTTAAAACACTCATAAAACTCACTAAGGTGATTTTGATCTCCTAATTCCTGGCTCGGCTCTGTGCATGCTGGTGCCATCCTGGGGACAGAGCTGTGCAGGCAGGGAGCAGGGATTGGACAAGGGAGTTTGGAAGCAACTTCTTGAAGGACCTAAAAGGCTTGGAAAGATGTGAGTGAAGGAGCCAGACTGACAGCTGCGAGGTGGTGGCAGCGGATCTGGAGCTGTGTTCAGTCCGTGGGAATTTTGGGGACCTCACTTGCTGTTCAAGGGGAGTTTTGACTTGGAGAAGACCCCAGAACAAGAGTCTTGGGGATGAAGAGTGTGGAGCAACCTGATCTAAATATGCAGAGTCCATTCCTACAATTAGGAAAGGCGACAGTTCCTCATTTTACAGCAAGGAAACGGGTGCAGGAGGAGACAGTGAGTTCACTGGGGAGACAGTGTTGCCCCACCAAGAAGGGAACGTGGACCTCCAGAGTTCCTGCTTGGTCCTTATATGTAAGACCTTCCTCCATCAAATATATCCATGACAAATAGTTCTCACTTCCCTACACATCCTGGGAGACATTCCGGAAAAATGATGCATTGCTCTTCTGCTTTGCGGGTGTTGGTTTTTTTTAAGGAAATAGTTTGTAAATCTCCTTCTCTGAAAGCCAGAGGTTTGAATTTATGCTCCTGAAGCCTCTTTGAAACTCCCCCGGCGCTGGCAAGGTAGATATTATTGTGCATGTTCAGAAGTTGTCAAGGGGAAAAGGCAGGAGAATAATCTGTATTGGCTGTGGCTTTGCCGGGGACTGTGGCTTCATAAATCTCTCTATTCAGTTCCCTGCTGGGGTCTGAGACTCCCCTATTTAGGGAGCGACGCTGGGTCAGGTGCTCCCAGGTTGTCTCCATCGAGAGATGAGGCCCTGAAATAATGGATGAGTTGCAGTGCGTGATGGAATATGTGTCTTATCAGCAGCAGAACAGTTAACGGCCAGGAAGGGGGAGAAAACCCAAACCTGTCACGCAGGATTAATGAGAGAAGTGAGGAAAAAGGGGGAATCCATGGCAAAACTGCTCTGTTTTGTCAGGTGTTTAAATTTATAGCCCGGGGTGTCCATACAGAGCTTCACTGTTTCCAAAGGCTGTGACAACCTTCTTTTCTCGGTGACCCGTTCTCTTGATCTCTAGGTCCCTGTGGCGCATCCTGCAAGAAGCAATGAGCTCTCTGAAATGTGTCATAGAATCATCATAGAATCACAGAATGGTTTGGGTTGGGAGGGACCTTGAAGCTCATTCAGTTCCAATCTCATGCCGTGGGCAGGGACACCTTCCACCAGCCCAGGCTGACAGGAGTGGAGGGGTGAGCCATTGTAGATCCAAAACCAGCCTCCTCTGGCCACTCAGCCCCTTCTGCTCATCATGAGCTGAATTATCCCACAGGCTCCTACTCTGGAGACTTCTGAATATTTAAGTGTGGAAGATTTAAGTGTTAAAAAGCCGTGCAGTAAAGGAGTGTTAATACTTTGCTATGAGTTACCTGGAGGATTAGCTGTTTGCCTTGTTCTTTCGCTGTGTCCACGTGCATATGTATCTTTTATAACAGGTTATAACTGCCAGCAAGTGTTTCTGATTAAATCTGTGATTTTCCCCCTCTCCAGGCTGCTGATTTATGGCAAGTACTGCAGCCACATGGAGTATGCCCAGAACACCCTCAACCACCTCCTCGCCAACCGGGAGGACGTCCGGCAGAAGGTGGAGGTGAGTGGGCAGGGGGCACTGGGGGCAGAGTGTTGCCCCCCTTCCCCTTGTCAGGGGTTTTGGAAGGACTTGCTGGAGCCAAGAATGCTGTGTTGGGAATGTTTGAGTTAGCAAAGAACAGAGGGATGTGAGAGTGTGTCTGTGCTGCTCAGAGAAGGAGCAAAGCTGGGGGGTGTCTCGTCCTGATCCCCTGTTTGCCCCTTCATCTCCTCACCAGACACACACTCTGTCCTTCCTGCCTGAGTTTATCCAAGTTAAAACAAACTAGTGACTTCATTTGAGTGGGACAGGCTGGGACAAGTTCTTTGAAATGTGCAGGGAGACCCAAATGCCCCGAGCATCCCCAAGCCAGGAGCCACATGGTTTCCCAAGGTCACCAACAGCATCAGGGACCATCAGAGGTGAACCCAAGTCCCCAGGCGAACACCCGGATTACCGCCCTGTCCTCCTTCCACAGCATAAAGACTTAGTGTAAATAGGGGCTGATCCAGATATTAAATGAATCAAAGGAGCCCCAGAAGGGAGGCATTGTTTGAGCTGCTGGTTTTTACCCAGCTTTAATTCCTGCTTTGGTCTTGATGCTAATCGGAATTTGCCGGGCTGTCTGTACACGTTACCTCCCGTTCCGCAAACACTCTTTGATTTTCCGTGTAAACCCAATTCAGGGGTAAAACTGCATTTAGGAGTTGTTTAAAACGTGTTCTTCGGGCCTTTAATAAAGCCAGTGGCTGTAGCATCCAGCTGCTCCTGTGCTTTTCCTTTCTCTCCCTCCCTGGGAACACAGAGGGTCTCAGGCAGCCGAATCACGTTATTTGAATGGGTCTGGGTGAAGGTAATGGTGGCAAAACTTCCTGCAACCACATTAGCTCATCTTAATGACTTAATGCTCACCAGCGACGCCAGAGCCACTGACTGCGTGCTCCCTGCCAGCCCCTCACAAATAAAACACATTAGTTCAGCCCAGCCAGGAGGTGGGTGAAGTTAATGTGTTTCATTTGACATTTCCCCAGGTCCGGGAGCGTTCGTGTGCTCCCCTAATGAGCAGCATCTCATTAAGCTGGAGTAGCTCAGTTGCATGAGAATGCCTGTGTTTTAGGGTCCAGCCTCTGGGTTTAATTCCTTGATAACCTCCATGGTGGGAGCCCCGGCCCTGGCTGGGTGCCTGCAGGGACCACGAGCCTGTGGGCATCAGGACTGAGTTTACAGAAGCCAAACGAACAACCACGGGACAGGGGAGGCTTTGTCTGGGGGGAGCCATTGTTTTCCCCAGCTGATTTATTGATCTCTTTGCTAGGAATGCACACTAAAGGTCCAGGATGGGAAATTTAAATTGCAAGATCTGCTGGTGGTTCCAATGCAGAGAGTTTTGAAATATCATCTCCTGTTGAAAGTAAGTTTTTCAGCACTGGCATTTCTCTCCAGCTTCCCTTCTCCCTCTCTGTAACATCTTTCAGCTCTTTGAGTGGAGAGTGAATTGTTGCCAAATGCAGAGGGAGGTTTGGAGTTTTTTCCCCTTCAAATGATATAATTACTGAAGCTCCTTAACACGACATAATAATATTTGTACCATCTCTTAAAGTACGGTGACCTAGGGTAATTCTGCACTTGTTAGCCACGAGAGGCAGTTAATGAATATAAAATAAGCTTGCATATAATCTGATTATGTGTGAAATTCTGCCCGTCAACTCTGTGTAACAGATCTCTCAAGCACCAGCTGCTTGGCATGTTCCCTGTCCTATGGCCACAGCCGCCTGCCCAGGCATCCCTGCCACCTCCCAGGCATCCCTGCCACCTCCCAGGCATCCCTGCCATCACCCAGGCATCCCTGCCATCCCTACCATCACCTAGACATCCCTGCAGCCACCCCGGCGACCCTGCCACCGCTCAGGCAGGTGCCTGTGGTCAGAGCCTGTCTGGTGCAGGCAGGGTCTGCACAGTTTTCCTAGCACCTCCAAACTCTTTATTTTTATTTATTTATACTTTTTCAGGAGCTGCTCAGCCATTCCTCAGACCGACCAGAGAAGCAACAGCTGAAGGAGGCTCTGGAGGCGATGCAGGTACAGGAGGATGAGAGTGGCGGTGGGGCAGTGCTGGGCTTGGGGTGCAGCAGAGCCTGGAACCCCTCTGCTCTGTAAAACAAAAACTAAGACAGCAAAAACCAAACCATCCTGCAGCCTGAGGGAAGGCAGCACCTCCTCCTTTTGGACACACACGTGTGTATTGATTGCTGTTTGATGAGATGGCTTCACAGCAGATCTGGAGTCCTCGCTGCCGTCTCCCTCCCGAGGCAGCTGAGGGAAGCTGGTGTTTGTTGACAAGTTACGACTTCTCACTGATTGCTATTGTGTGTAAAGAGGCCGTGCCAGATCCGGCTCTTGTTTTTGCTGGGAGGGATCTGGAGGAACTCCAGACGCATCAGCAAGTCGGGGAGTATTGCAGAAATGGGAGCCTGTGTGTGCGGAGCGTTCCCTGTGTGCTGTTATCCAGGTGCTGGGTGGGAATCCTTTTATCCAAGGAAATTTTTCTGTTAAGGGGAAAATGCTCTTTCAACAGTTGAAGGCTTCTGGTGTCAATGTTTTGCTTTGTTTAAAGTTTTTTTAGAGCTTTCAGCTGAAACCCCCAAAATCTTGGGAAAACCATCAGCGACAACAACAAAAAAATCATAGGGTCACAGGATCATCCAAATGTTTTCTGACTGGGATATGTACCCACACACACACAGACTCACACCAAGGGACCATCAGCAGCAGAACCTGAATTGAAGATGCTCATTAACTCCAGATTTTCTCTCTGGAGAGCATCTCAGGATTCATCCCAGGGTTTGCTCCTGTGTTCATGGTCACTCTGTTTTCTATCTCTGAGCCGCAGCTTTTGTAATATCCCTGCATTTCCTGGCACTTACATAAGTTGGGTGACCTTTCCAGCCATTATCCCTCCAAGCCCGGGAGTCCAGAGCTGATATGTGGGTCACGTTAGCGTTCAGGTTGTTTGAAGGACGTTGCATTCACAGCCCTCTCCTGCTCTGTGGCCTCAAATGAACGCTAAACCTGGTGACAGCAGTTAAACCCTGCTTATGGCCTCATCATCCAGCACTGCCAGCACCACTGCTAATAAATAAATGTATATATGCTCTGGCTGTGCTGCAGACTCAGCATTCCTTGCAGGAAGCTGCCGATAGCCATCAGGGAGGTTTCTCTCTTCTTCTCCCCATCGCCAGGAGAGCGCGGGTGCAGTTCCGACCGCGCTGGGCTCGGCGGGGGCATCGGAAGCCATTCAGTTTGGTTTTAATTGATCTGCAAACCAAGGCTTAACCTCCAAGTGATGTTTTTCATCACAAGTCCAGCCTTACTGTCTGCTGTGCTGGCAGGCAGCAGACACTGCTGCTGTCTGGGGTGAGAGCTGTGCAGGGGGTGAATAGAGCAATGTTTCCCAAAGTGATTCACTTCCCTTTTATTTTGCATGAATAGTTGTTTGTGCAAGGCAGGGGTAGGATTTACACAAAAAAAGTTGTTTGTGATGGTGGTATTTGGTACAGTTACCAATCCTCTGTCTGAGAACGCAGAACCAAATCCCCAGGTGATGGTGGGACAGCGCAATTCCCAGTGAAATCCTACAGCCCACATTTGTGTATTGTTGTTTCAAGTTGTGGTTGATCCTGGGATTGTGTTTCCCCTGTTCAGCAGGAGGGAGCTGAGGTCAGTGCTCAAGCATGGTGGAGGATACTGCTTCATAAGGCTTTTGGTTGTGTCATTTCCCATCTCCATCCCTGCCACTGCCCAGTGGGGTGTTTGTGATGTTATAAGTATTGTCACGTAGATATGTGATTATCGTCTGTGATTAACCCATCTTCTCTTGGGAAGCTGAGGAAGGTCTGACCCAGAGGGGATGTCTTAAAAAATCCCATGTTTGGATCTAATGCAAGTTGACAAGAGCTGTTGTTGAGGGCAAGGAGGGAGCAGATAAGAAGCAAACAGGCTCTGAAAGGTGTAAGGAGTTCTTTTAGTAGAAAGATTGGGTTCCTTCTCTTTGGTGGATCAAAATTTGGATAAGTGAGGAATTTTTGAGGGCAGAACAAGCTCCATCAACCATCTCCTTGTTTTACAACACAGCCTTTGTGTGGTGGGAGATGTTGGAGCCCAGAAGTGCTGGAGGTGGGGATACTCTTGTGGGATGTCCCGGGAAAGACTGAGCATGAAGATCCCAGTGCTCTCACCAGCTCAGGTGCGATCTGGAGCACCCAGGGAAAAGAGCTGGAAGCAAGAGAGGCAGAGCCAAGTCAAATCTGTTCACAGCTAACATGCAGCCAGGTGTCCAAAGCAGTTACTTTACAGACATGGATGTTTTGACAGCAGAGACTGGCTCGCGGCTTTCGTATCTGGGGGGATGTAGGGAATTACGGTGATGAAAGGTGGGAAGGAAGGATGCTGCCAGGCAGAGGGGCAAGGCAGGGGGTGCCTGGCTCAGGCTCTTAGCAGGTAACAGCCACAGGCTGGGTTTGCTGTGCTCCACTGGGTTTATACATTGCTATGGATTCATGCATTGCCATCTTCTGGGAAATGGAAAACATTGCAGCAGCCGCCTGGCTCAGCAGTGGGAGCACCAAGAGCCTGTGCTCAGGTGTCCCAGGCTGCTGTGGGGTCCTGCTCAGACTCCTCAGGGATTCAGGGAGCCATGCTCGTGGGGGTCCTGCTCAGGTAGGGTACTATTGTCATCTGAAAAATAAAAATATATCCTCACTTTTCTTTGAAGGACTTGGCCATGTACATCAATGAAGTAAAGAGGGACAAGGAGACTTTAAAGAAAATAAGTGAATTTCAGAGCTCTATAGAAAACCTGGTAAGTTGAAAAATCCTCTTGAACCCAAATTAATTTTATTATTATTAACATTTTTACTTTTTTTTTTTTTGGTGCAATTATTACTTATTCTGGTATACTACCCAATGTGTTTGGGCACTCCCTTGT